ACAAAAAATCATCCAATTACCAAAAAATCTTCCCAATCACAGAAAATCAACGAAGAAATTGTCTGGAAAGTTCAAAAAAAAGAAAGAAAAATCCAGCAAGAACAAAGAATGGGAAATCTGGGATCTTCCCAGACCTGGACGGAACCACCGTCACCCCGCTGCCGTGTCCCAGGTCGTGTCGCGCCTGCTTCTGGTCTAGCGCCGCTGCCACCGGTTGGCTGCCACTGCCATGGATCTTGTCAACTTCCACGAGCCGCCATAGCTTCCAGATTGGGATCTGGAACTTTTGGATATGGAGAAGGCCGCTCACTACACAAGCGACGGCACCGGTAGCTCGATATGGCCTCCAGCTTCATATCAACGCCTCTGTTCACCGTTCTTTCCAAACTGAAGCTAAACAGATCTGGAACGAACGACAAAAAAAAAATGTGGAAGTCTAATATCCGGGTCGCCGTCCACCATCAACACCACCGCCGTGCGCCGTCTGCCATGAGCCGGCACCTGCCGTGCGCCGTCTACCATGAGCCGGCACCTGCCGTGCGCCGTCTACCATGAGCCGGCACCTGCTGAGGAGTAAAAGATCTGAACTCCACTGCTGACCCAGCTTAAAGGGCGTATCAGTTGTCGCCGACGTTAAAGAACCTTCGCCAGCGCTACCTGAGCTCTAGCAAGCTGCTCCTGATCGTTTTTTGCTCTGCCGCCGGACCAACCTGAGGGAACTCCGCCGGAAGTATCGCCTGCGAGGGCCTCGCCGTCGTCTTCCTCAGTAGCTGTGTCATCTGCCTGAGTGTGCTGCTTTCTTGGGTCTTGGTCGCAGACAAGATCCCACTTGCCGGCCAGGAAAGCTGGCAGGAGCTTTTGCTGGAATGCTGGGTGGAGGCGGATCTGCTCAGAAGCCAATGAACTAGGTCAAAATTGGTCAAAGTGAGCATTGGGCCTCCTCAACAATAAGTCCTCGTTCCAATTTCTACACGGGCCCCTTTATTTCAGTCTAATATTTCAGCCCACCCCAAAAGATAAGTACTCTTTAATTTTTATACTACGTATTATTTATTTAAATCATTTTTGTCGGGTAAATACCACACTATCATACACTTATGATCAAATGCCTAGTAGAGTGTGGATTGAGACCCATCACTAGGATTTAAAGTCCTGACTCCTCAGGCACAAAGTCCTGTCTCCTCAGGCACAAAGCCCCGACCAAGTCGGGCATGAAGACAAAACCCTGACCAAGTCGGGTACGAAGACCGGTCTTAGTCATTCCTCGAGTGGCGACCGTTGCTTACGAATGGCTCACACATCCATTCTACTAAGTATTTTATCATTACATTAACAATTCACATCACCACTTGTTTCAAGTGACGAACTCCCGATCGGGAACATAAATCCCAAGAATTTTTTTTTATATGTATGATAAATGTGTAGGTACGAAGATGACTTTACTCATTTTCACCTCGTCTCCACTCGCCTCAAGGAGTGGGGACTGGGGGCCTGAGGGGTCAGAGTTTCTAGATGAGCAGAAAATATCACGCAAGAGCAGGAACGAGAGCTGAGTCAGTTGAAGAGGAGCTGAGCTAGATTGATTATGCCGGAGGAGATTTACCTTCCTTGTTTCATGTTGGGGGCGCTAGGTGTACTCTTTTTCCCTTTATTAGGATTTTTTCCCACTGGGTTTTTCCTAGTAAAGGTTTTTAACGAGGCACCTCCCCATAATGGACAAGGGTGGTGGTCCCCCGTCCGAAGAGGAAGAACGTTGCAGATACAGTTTGGACTACTCCCTTTCGCCTCGAGTACTCTCGACTCAGGGAGTGGGGGACTCCTGATGGATTATATGGACTCCGACCCCCCGGTATGCCAACTACTAGGCATGGATAGCGGCCCACACACGTTTAGCGGATATCATTAATATTATTGTACATTATTATTATTATTCAGATGTTCTAGATTAGCTTTTTATACTATCAGTCCATTTATGTAACCGGGTCTGTCAGGCCCATATTAGAGGCCCAGACCCGGATTTTCCCTATATATACTCCTTATAGGAGGCTTGTAACTCATATAACAAATATTCATTCTATACACATTTCCTTCTTTCTTCATCATTTCTTCTCTATTCTTGTTCAATCTCTCCTGTTTATACAATATGGGTATCAATTATCCAACAACTATCACGATAAAGTTGATTAGATCCAATTATTTTAAAAAATCAATCATATTCTCGGGTTTTGAAAAAAATGTTCAATCGCAAGCCCGGTCCTGACTTTTTATGGGCCCGGGACAATACATATAGAGTGCGCCTTAGGAACAATGTGCAAATGCTTATATTTTTTTTTATAAAAAACTATAGTTAAGTATATTCAAGCAATTTAGTCATTCAAATACGAGTATAACATATCAAAGAAATTAATAAAGGAGACGGTTGGAAAGGTTATATTTAAATAGTTGATAAGCGACATTCCAGAATACCATGTACCAAAAACAGCTCAATGGAAAAGTAGAACGATTCTTACTCGCAGTCCATAATTTTGAGTTAGGGAAAGGCGCGAAAGTTAAATCGTATATGGAGTAAAAATTTCATATTTTGAATCACATTTTCAATAGACTAAAACAAATTGCAAGTTTCTAAATCCTCGGTACGCTAATTTGATCTTTCACTTACACTAGAGAACAAAAAATTAGTAAAATACTATCAATGAATTATGAATTTTTATGAGAGAAGTAGATGAAATTATTAACATTTATGCGCTAACATATGTTTCAAAATTTTGGAAATGTAGTTTGTAGATGTTGAATAAAAAATTGAACGTATTGAAATAATTATAAGTTTGATTTTATTTTTAAATTTATATATATTCAAACACACTCACACACATTCTGGTCAGACCAAACTGACCAGAACCGCCTTGCGGCCAAGCCTGTTTGAGTGCTCTTCGGGTCACATTTTTTATGCAATTTTGTGAACATGTTTTTCATGAAGTGTAGAATATTTACACAAAATCTCAACTTAAAATTCAATCGAAAAGTCAGTTAAATAAATTGTTGAAAAACGCTCCGATTTTTGTGTAGTGTTTATGAACAATTTATTTAATTGACTTCCCTATTGAAATTTTTTATGAAATGTTGAGTGAATATTCTACACTTCATGAAAAATGTGATCACAAATTGTCATTAAAAACTTCAATCCGAAGGGCTCTCAAACGGGCTTGGTCGACGGCAGTTCTAGTCAGTCCGGATTAACCAGAAAATTCCTCATATATAACTAGAAAATTTATGGGCCCTAAGGAAGCAATGGGCTCTGGGCGCATGCCCCTTTGCCCATGCCCTAGGACCGGCTATGTTCAATCAGGTCAATTAGCAGGTTACCTGCCATGTCAGCAGGTCACCCGCTGACATGGCAACCCAGTTAGCAGTGACTTTGCTAACTTGGCGCACACGTGGTGTTCCACACATGTGCCACATTAACACAAAATGACTGTCTGGGTTTTCATGTGTGTGCCATGTCAGTAAAACCACTGGTGGTGTGACAGGTAACCTGCTAATTGATCGAAGTGAACATTTTTTCAAATTTCAGGGACTTGATTGATTTTTTAAAGCATAAAGATCTAATTGGCTTTTTCGTGATAATACGAGGATCAAATTGATAATTTTGTTATAGTTTTTTTCATTTATGCAAAGTCAAAATTTCTTGAATATGTGGTGCAAAATCCAATAACTCAAAAAATGAGATGCAAAATTAAAATTCCTCTTCTGTTAATCAGCATTGTGTTATCTATAGAAGTCAGTTTTTTTCTTTCAACCTTAAAAATGTCTGAAAATGGTGAGACCAAAATCTTAACTTGAAGATATTTTGAGTAAATTATTTAAAAACTCAATTTCCGATCAAAATCCGTATCAGAATTTGGCAGGCAAATCAAACCTGGAATTGATTAGTAAATATTAAAAATATAATGTTTATAACATCACAGTTATCATTATTAAGTATTAACTACTAGTACATTATAATATACGTCTATTAAAATTATTTCTCAAAATATACTCGAAATACTTTATTTAATTATCGCCTAAATAAGTGTGGCGTTTTGCTATTACTGCTGAGGCCGTAATAGAAATTGAATTTGACTAAAAAAGCACTTCTATTAAAAAAGCAGTTCTCACCTTTTGACTTTAAAAAAACACTTACGGAGTATTTTCCCAAACACTACAACTTTTATTTTTCTTGGTTTCCGCGTCAAAAGTGCTTTTACTTTTTCTATTACACAAAAAGCACTTATTTTACCAAACACTACTCACTTTTACTTTTCAAAATTACTTTTTTTCTCAAACACTATCAACTTTTATTTAATCACTTCTCCCCATTTCATTAAAAAAAGCACTTTTTTAAAAGCAGAAGCTGTTGCAAACAGATCCTAATAAACCCATATAGAATTGAAGAACAAATTAAACAAAGAACGTTCTTGGGCTGAACATGGCCGTGCCGGTTGCCCTGAGCGCCGTCGTCAGTGCCTGCCACAAGACCATTCCTGGCTTCATCTGCCACTAATTAATTAATTAATTAATTAATTAATTACCTCATCTCATCTATTATTATGCATGATTATTGTTGGTTATTGTATTCTTGCATTAAATTGTTGTACTTTAATATTTTTAATTTCTCTGTTGCTTTGATTTTTTCATTATTATTATTGATGTGTGATGTTTGGATTTGGGTTTTTGTGTTGTACTGTGTGGTCGTGAGTTAAATTTATTGTTAAGGAAGCCATTATTCCTTAATACAATTAACTCCTCGTAATAATCTTGAATCATTGTTTCTCTTCCCTTCCATTTCAAGGTTGCTACAATGACTCATTGATTATACATAAATTTAACCACTCCCCAATAATAATACTTCCTCCCTTACAATAAAAAAAAAATAATAATAATATACGGAGTACGGAGTATATATTTTCATGATAGAAAATCAAACAAATCAAAAAATATCAATCTCCATGATTGCAGAATTGCAGAGAATCGTTGTTATACACAGAAACAAGCAACCAAATAGCAAAATCTAATCTTCAAATTTGAAAGTACAAATCACAATAGTTCCCCGCCCGCAAGAACTGCCGGTAAATTGAATGAAATGAAAGAATAATACAATTACACGACCGATCACCATTCAGCACCTCTAATCATATAACTTCAGTCCACCCACGACTTCCTTGAATTCCTGAAACTCGTCGCAGATAAGGCCGCCGCCTCGCCGGAGAAAATCCGGCGTCTTGCTCAAAGAAGTCATGATCGAACATATAACATCCTCGTAATCTTCATCATAGTGATCCCCAAACACGTCCAACACGAAACTCTTCTCATCCTCCTCGGAATCCAATCCCGACATCTCCTCGTCCCCATCCATTTCTCTCACAGTGATCATCACTCCCCTGTTTTCCCCGTCTTCTTCTTCCTCCTCCTCCTCCTCCTCCTCGTCATCCTCCTCGTACTCATTCAGTTCCTCGTACAAACGGGCGTGTCGGGTCGAGACCCGATACCCCTTTTCCTGCCCGAGCCTCTTCGTCTCGACGTCGATGACGACGACGGCCCGGGATTTCCCGAGACAGAGCAGGGTTTCCTCGCAGACATTGAACTTGCCCCGCAAGCAATCCGATACGGCCGCCGCCAGGAACGGAGTGGTTTGCGGCAGGAAGAATCCGGTGAGGATTGCGGCGCCGTTGATCATCTCCGGGAGGTACTGCGGGTGGGAGACGAGATCGAAGAGCTGGACGTCGGATTCCTCGAAAACGGCAGAGGTTCTTCGGGAGACGGAGCGCTTCATTCGGAAGAGGAGAAGGCCGCATTTGGAGAAGCGGTTCGAAAGCAGATTTTCTGTCCACGTGAACAGTCGCACGTTCAGGCCGTCGACGAGCTCGACCGGGTAAGACGCCATTGATTCAGCCTCTGTAAATCAAGTTTTGATGTAAGGAAGGAAGAAACTGGCGGTAATTCTTTACGAGTATAACCAGTAGGGTAAATATATAAAGCACTTTATTACTCGGGATTGTTTCCTAATCTCGTTATGAACGAATTTGGAAATCAACGTTGCTTCGTCTACAAGCACAAGTCATACACATTTTGTACATTCCCATTTTGTCAGTATATATAAAATTCTTTTTCATTTATGTAAATTGAATTGTTGATGATATAGACAAAAAGGGAGTTATATGATTTGGACATGTACAAAAGGGATTAGAGATTAACCTCACCCAGTACCCACTACAACTGTTTATCTTAATTTTAAATGCAAGTTAAAACTAATAATCCATTATTCATTTATTTGTAAAAATACCATAATTTTATTTCTAATAAAAAACTTGTTCACTAACCCTCTTTTTGTTGCAAAAAAAAAAAACTTGTTTAACAACTGATAAATAGGGCAAGGGTAAGGGGTAAAGGTAAGGGTAAATTCGGAAACTGAAAAAGTTTAAAGTACCGCTCAATTAATACATGATGGTGTTATGCTTAGTAAGCAGCACTTTAAGCACCTCTTTCGGTTAGTAAGAAGATTTTTAAGCAACTTGTGTGCTTACATCATCTGTCTTACTAACCTAACTGTGACTTTAGCAGCGAAGTAAGCACATCCTTAGTAATTTGTTTGGAGACGAGTATTTATAGGGATGGACCGAGCCCGGTCCGGGTCAGGCCTCGGGACAGGCCCGTGCAGGCTTAAAATTTTTGGGTGGTCGGGTCGGGTCCGGGCAATTAATTTTTTATTTTTTAAATTCTTGTTTACAAATTAATTCAAAGAAGTGCTGCATATAAAAAAATTAAAGTATATTTATTTGAAATAGGGAAAATGGAAATTAATAATCCAACCTTTTAGCGGTCTTCTTTTAATAGTCCGATCTTTTCGTTATTTATGAATAATCTAACCTTTGCACCTCATCTTCATTCATTGGTCCCCGACTGGTTGATGACCTGCTATTCCGAGTTATTTTCTTATCTCTGCAAACTATTATACCATAAATTCCACCTTTCACAAAGATAATATTTTGCAAAGATAAGAAAATAACTTGGAATAGCAGGTCATCAACCGGTCAGGAACCAGTGAATGAAGATGAGGTGCAAAGGTTGGATTATTCATGAATAATGAAAAGGTGAGACTATTAAAAGTAGACCGCTAAAAGGTTGGATTATTAGTTTCCATTTTCCCTTTGAAATATGGGCTACAATTGAGAATTGAGAAAAATTTAAAACATGAAATACATTTTCTAATAAATAATAATCAATCGGAATCTCCGCCACCGTCGGTTGTTGTTTCCTCCATAAAGTGACGGGTGGAGGCGATGCTAACTTTTTTGAGTTCTATGTCGGGTCTTCAACCAATTGTGGTAGTAAACAAGCATTTCAAGATAGTTTGTACTCAATCTTGTTGTATAATCTGTTAGCACGTTGTCGGCCGCACTAAATTCTTGTTTTAACGGCAACTGTTGATACTGAGAACGTTCTTTCTTTATCCTTGCACCACTTTAGAACATTAAAGTCATTCCCTTCTTCATAGTCAACAGGAAATGTTAGATACATAGAAAGCTCGTTAATCGAGCTTTGTTCAACAACGAGAGTTGATTTACTTTTTTCATAAGATTGTCAAATGTAGATTTCAAAAATGATTTTCCTGTAGATGAAAATGTTCGTGTTGGGGGAGGGGTGCGTTACCATATTGTGCATGAAACTCATTAAACAATTGATGAAATAAATTACTAACCTCGTTGTATTCTTGTTTACGATCTATGGGCTTATCTTCATACATAGGAAATGGACAAAAAAGAAGAAGTGTAATAATAGTCTAAACATTGCAGAAAGCATTAAGTTTGTAACGAGGATCAAGAATAAATGAAATACCATATACATGCGAAATATGTGATAATATTTTAAAAACTTTTTTTTCATGAAAGAACAAAAATAACTAACGTAAGGGGCATTGGAAAATTCACAAAAGTACTGGCGAGATTAACAGCTTCACGAAATGTTTGAGTTGCATTATTAAAAAAATACCAAAAACATTCACAACTTTTTGCATAGTGTCGATGTCAGCCGGGTTTATAGTTAACATATATCGTTCCATCATCTTTATTTGATGACGAGAAGCTCATCTAAGGGCCCCTCAGCCGTATATCTCTCTGTCATCTTTATTTGATGACGAGAGGCTCATCTACAGGCCCCATGGTCATATATCTGCTAGTCATCTTTATTTGATGGCCTGGACATCACATTGTGGACGGTCGCTCGACCTATCTCATAGTCATCTTTATTTGATGACTGAGACTACTTATCATGCCGAGCTACTCACATTTAGAGTATGGTCTCGGCCATCCCTTCAGCAGACAGACACCGTTGCAGCTTCACACCTCGGCTGAAGGGCTCACCCTTTTGCTTCACTTTGGGGGCATCCGGTGTACTCTTTTTCCCTCATTAGGATTTTTTCCCACAAGGTTTTTTCCTAGTGAGATTTTTAACGAGGCATCTCCCCAACGTGGACAAAAGGTGTCGACCTTCGGCCCCTATTGAAGACATCACGGGACATGATCTACTCTACTCCTCTTCACCTCATTACATTCACCTCAAGGAGTGGGGGACTGGATGAGCGGATGACTTAGCGCCTCCGTCGGAAGAGCGGGGGACTTAGTGCCTCCGTCAATTGAAGAAGCACAAATTCAAAATTTTTCATGAGATTTGCCACATACACCGACGACGTCATCACATCATATGCAGAATCAGTTGCCACAACAGAAAAGTACATATATATAGCCCTTCGGCCCCACGGTCGACTCTGAGGGTCTCTGGCCAGCGACCTTCGGCTGAGGACTCTCCCATTGGGTTGCCTCAGTAAGGGCTCGCCGATGAGATCGGATCGGCGGTTTGGGAATCAGGGCGGGGCGCCTCGACGATGACAACAGTTCGCTCACCAGACGACGACGACGACAGATCAGCACATAGTTCTACTCCCTTTCGTTTCGACTACTCTCGACTCGGGAAGTGGGGGACTCCTGATAAAGTATATAGACTTGGATCCCCGGATTTCATGATTGTTGGGCCCAGACAGCGGCCCACATACGCTCTGTGGATAGCATTTACATTATTGTACAATTTATTTATTCATATGTACTTGTTAGATTAGATTAAAACCCGTTTATTAGCCATTTATTGGCCTTTTACTGTAACTAGGCCTGCCAGGCCCAATCTTGGAGGCCCAGCCCATAGTTCTCCTATAAATACCCCCTTTGGGGAACCATGTAAAAGGTTCACAACTCATTATATAATCTCACTTTCTCTCTCTAGCTCTCCCTTTTCTCTAGACAATAGTCTATCAATAAGTAATATAGTATATGTATTTATAAGTAGATAATTAATATAAGTAGATATAATAATTATATAAATAGATGAGAGAATTGGAGAAGATGAAGATGGAGATGATTAAGGGACTGTTTGCAACAGCTTCTGCTTTAAAAAAGTTCCCTTTTTAATGAAATGGAGAGAAGTGATTAAATAAAAGTTGATAGTGTTTGAGAAAAAAATGATTTTGAAAAGTAAAAGTTGGTAGTGTTTGATAAAATAAGTGCTTTTGTGTAATAGAAAAAGTAAAATCACTTTTGACACGAAAGCCGAGAAAAATAAAAGTTGGTAGTGTTTGGTAAAATAAGTGTTTTTTAAGTCAAAAGCTGAGAAGTACTTTTTTTTAAAGCATTTGCAAACCAACTCTAAGAGTATTAGAGAATAGAGAGTATGAAGAGTTGGAGAAGAGATGTAGAAAAATGTATAGAAAATAGGAGTATATGTAGAAGTTTTTTGTACCCCCCCACCCCCGGGACCCCCCCCCCCCCAAGGCTCCAACGGCTATAGAGCCGTTTGGGACCTTTCCCAACGGGCTACGGCTAGGAGGGTTCCATTTTTTTTTAAATGTAGTCGTTACCGGCCCGGACTGGTCGGGCCGGTCCCTATTTTTCCAAGCCCGGAGCCCACCATCAAAAGCCCCCGGTTCGGGCACAGTGGACCGGTCCCGTGCCCGGTTGGTGGGCCGGCACTACACAGTACCAGTTCGGGCCGGTCGAACAAGTCCCGGGCCATCCCTAAGCATTTCAAGTTTAGTTTAATTCCTTTGAGTTTGAAACGAGGTGGAGGATAATTACCAAATCATAACAAACTATGAATCTATTTGGTTTGATGCACTTAAGTTCAATTTGGATTTTTCAAAAAGGCAAAAAGGTGTTATTGAATTATTAATTAATAAGGTTCTTTTTTACTCGGTTTCAATTCAATTCAGAAAAAATATTATTAAATTAAATTAGAATAGCATATGGTTAAATTAAATATCACTCTGTATTAAGTTTCAGCTTAGTTTGACCGAACCGAACTGCGCACCCTACTTATGTTGCGAGGAGTATAAAGAATTTCATTCATCCCCAAGCTATTTGGATCCTCAAAATTAGCAGAGGAGATTGGAAAAGGTATTGCAAACTAATTGAAATGTGTAGCAAAATGATACTTTGTACTTTACAGATGTAATTAATTTCAATGGCTACTACGAATCAATCTACTAATGTTCGAGTTCTATTTCCGCAATCAACTTTTCTCTCTATACATAAATATTAATGATGCTAATTTGACTATACATCCAAATCTAGATCTTACAATACTTGAAACCCCATCTTGATATCCTAGTAACAAGTAGCTTCAACGTAAACGCAGTGAGCAGATAATACTCTCATATCAATCCAAAGAATGTGCTCTACACTTGAGAGACATGTCTACTTGTAGTATATCCCATCCAATCAAACGAACAAAAGATGAGAGCATCACCAATCCAAAGTTATGTTTCTTGAAAGGTAGAGGTTGTCAATGTACTCGATGATGGGTTGCAAAGCATTGATGTATCTTTTCATTTCTTGCTCTGCCGACACATCTGCCACAGCATCACAATTGTTTATATAAAACAATACCTTTAATTGTTTTCTGTAAGGAATCTAAATATTGTTTCATCCGGTTAATATCATGCATTTTGGTAATGCTTATTTGGTCGAAATGGCCTGAATCTGTTCAATTTTCTGAATTGAAAAGATTTTGGTAAAATCAATTTCAGTCCACTAAG